AGAACAGTTGTACTTTAGATAGTGCAGTACTAACGTGTGAGTTAAATAACTAGAACAGTTGTACTTTAGATAGTGCAGTACTAACGTGTGAGTTAAATAACTAGAACAGTTGTACTTTAGATAGTTCAGTACGAACTAATGAGTTAAATAACTAGAACAGTTGTACTTTAGATAGTTCAGTACGAACTAATGGGTTAAATAACTAGAACAGTTGTACTTTAGATAGTGCAGTACTAACGTGTGAGTTAAATAACTAGAACAGTTGTACTTTAGATAGTGCAGTACTAACGTGTGAGTTTAATAACTAGAACAGTTGTACTTTAGATAGTTCAGTACTAACGTGTGAGTTTAATAACTAGAACAGTTGTACTTTTAAATAGTGCAGTACTAACGTGTGAGTTTAATAACTAGAACAGTTGTACTTTAGATAGTGCAGTACTAACTAACGAGTTTGATTACTAGAACAGTTGTACTTTAGATAGTTCATTACTAACATGTGAACCACAGTATTATTATTATTTGAACCTTCTCTTGCTTTATTACAGTAAACTTGAAGTGTTGGATTTGACTGGTCTGTATAAATTGACAGGTGTTTGCTTGCTGAAAGTTCCCAACCTGGTACCAAGATTACGTTACTTGAATCTTGAACAGTGTAATGATGTAAGGATTTTATCTGGTTTCCTTTTTCGTTTGGTTAATTTAAAAACTGTTCATTAACAAAACTTATCATTATCGATATATTTAAAATCACTTATTAACATTGATTCAATTGAAGTTTCTCACTGTTAACATTTCTGAATGAATTATGAAAACACAAAGTATGTAGAAAAGCAAATTTTTCATTATTCATGCACTGTGGTAAAAATGGAATTAAATCACTGGAGGAACCTTTTGATATTAGTGAAGTTCCATAGTGTAGGATCCAGCACTATGAGTAAAGATGGCTTATAGAACGAACTTACAAACTCCTGTCCAATGCCCTGTTTGTTATTATTGAGTAAGTTAGGTGGAGAGGCTAGACATTTTGTACAGTATAATTAAGGAATTGAAACAAAATACTTTGTTATATTTTGCATAAAAAGCTTGTCTTATACGTGATATTATTTTTCTTTTCTAGTGCATATATGAAAGTACTGTTGTATATTATATCAAACTTAGTTTTGTATGTGTTTTATATTTAATTTCAAGCGAAGTGTACTGACTTACAATATATTTACATGAAAATTCAATACTTTTCAATAACATTAGTGCCTTTTTCAGAAGTGAATTGGGATAAATCAGGAAGTCTAATGTGTGAAAGTTAATTAAATTAAATTTTACGAAGCAGTGGATGCCTCTTCTGAAATCACTGAAGTATTTTTACTTCAGTTAGATTTAAATGAGTAAGTCATCCTAAATACTTGTATGTTGTAAGGGAAGGCTACAACCATACAACATCTCCATACAAAGTCATCCTAAGTACTTGTATGTTGTAAGGGAAGGTTACAACCACACAACATCTCCATACAAAGTCATTTTAAATACTTATATGTTGTAAGGGAAGTCTACAACCATACAACATCTCCATACAAGGTCATCCTAAATACTTGTATGTTGTAAGGGAAGGTTACAACCACACAACATCTCCATACAAAGTCATTTTAAATACTTATATGTTGTAAGGGAAGTCTACAACCATACAACATCTCCATACAAGGTCATCCTAAATACTTGTATGTTGTAAGGGAAGGTTACAACCACGTATACAACATCTCCATACAAAGTCATCCTAAATACTTGTATGTTGTAAAGGAAGGCTACAACCATGTATACAACATCTCCATACAAAGTCATCTTAAATAC